TGGCCCAGGCTCTGGAGGCCGAGAGGCAGGCCCTCAGGCAATGTCAGAGGGAGAACCAAGAGCTCAACGCACACAACCAGGTCCAGACACACACACATGCACACACACACACTAGGTTTACAGCCTCGCGCTTTCTGTTGGACTCCTTCTTAATCTCCTCCGGATCACGTTTAGGAGCTGAACAACCGTCTGGCTGCAGAGATCACCAAGATGCGCTCCATGGCGTCTGAGGACGGAGCCGGAGATCCCAACACCACGATCCAGGGGAAGGAGCTGTATGAATTAGAGGTAATCACTGCAGCGCATAAAATCACACAGATGGGATTCTGAAACCAGTTTACACCAGTGAAGTTTGGCGGCGGCAGCTGTTTCCCCTCAGGAGCCCCTGCAGTCGTGAGAGCAACTAGTTCAGTTTAAATCACACAGTTAAAATACAAGTAGGTCACAATAGCAGAGTTTTCCTGGTGGATAAATTGTCCCAGTAATTATTATTCATGCGATAATATAGTTGTTCTGAATCTTATTTACAAGTAGTGTTATTGATGGTATGTAAAAATGCAGGCTCACCCTCTTAAGACCAACATGCTTTAATTTAGTAAAGAACAACACATAACGCAGAATAAAAAAAAAACACAGACAGAAAAAATTGGATTATGAAGTCTCTGTAATGAAAATGCTTCTTTAGAAAATATCTATAATAATGATTATTTTAGTAAACGGTCACTCTGTTGATTATTCTGTCGATTAATCGGATGAAACAAACACGTACCCTCTACAGATTTTTCATTTAAACCTTGAACATTTTTTTAATACAAAAGAGTCAAATGCACCAACAGACACGTCCGTTTTTTAAATAAGGAAATGGACATTTTATTGCCTGAAATACAGTAACGTAGCATTTGTCTAGTGGATTTGAACCTGGTGAAGCTAAAACTCGGCCACTTAAGAAATTTTGTGTCAAGCATATGTACAAACAAAAGTGTTTCTATTGTACGGCTTTGGCCTATTTATTGCTCTGAATTATTTATTCAGTAAATAGATTTTTCTCAAGTCTCTAGTGTCCAGTTAACGATTAATCGATCGCTAAATTAGTTGATGATTATTTCAGCAATTAAGATTATTTATGTTGCATCAAAGCAGTTTGTAAAAATGTGTATTTCACTTGAAATGTACTTATGTTGGACTTAAGTATTTGATTATTCAGAGTTTAGATACCCAATACAGAACTGATAAAGATATTGATGTCAGATCGGTGCCTGTAATATTGTAATCAAACATTCTGCAGTGACATGACGACTAACCCTCTTTATTAACAGATTTATACATTTTCCTGCAAAGCCAGTCCATGTTCTTTTCCATGGTTTCCTCAGGTGATGCTGCGGGTGAAGGAGTCCGAGGTCCAGTACCTGAAGCAGGAAATCAACTCCCTCAAGGACGAACTCCAGGCCGCTCAAAGAGTAATTCCTTCGCGGCTTCGCCTCGGCGACCGCCAACGATTCCTGGTGACGCCGGCGGCGAAAGCGCTCTGTGTGTCTAAGCGAAATGTTGCGCTTGCAGGACAAGAAGTACGCGACGGATAAGTACAAGGACATCTACACAGAGCTGAGCATCGTGAAGGCCAAGGCGGAGCGGGACCTCGGAAGGCTCCGGGAGCAGCTGCAGCTGGCGCACGAGGCGCTCGGAGAGCCGTCGCTCGAGGACTTGGAGCGAGGGGGATACGGTACGCCATCCACCGCCGCCTCAAAACTGCCCACCATCCGACCGCCGATCTAATTTTGGTTCCTGACCGTTCTCATGACAGATATCATGAAGTCCAAAAGCAACCCCGACATCCTGAAGATGGCAGCAGCGGCAGCCAAGCGCTCGGAGCGAACCCTGAGGTCAAAGGTGGGTCAGAAAGAAACGATTCGTATTTGCAGCAGCCGTGCAGAGAACTGCGAAACCACATGGCTGTGATGTGAGGCAGCAACACTTTGGCAGCAGACAGAGCAGTCTGGTTTTCCACCCGTTAAGGCCTGAGATGCACGTTCCAGTTATTTGCTGCCCTCTGCAGGTCGCCTGAAAAGTTGCATGCAACAGTGCATGCCCTCAGCTGTGTTATCAATATACAGTGTCTTTACTGAATGGATCTTATTTGATAGACCAAAACAAAGTAGTGCATAATTGAAGTGGAAAGAAAATTATGTTTTTTTTTTGTTTTTTTTATGAAGAAAATCTGTTTTTTCAGTCAATTAAAATTTAGGGTTTTTGAAAATTAAATTTTTGAAAAATCTGAATTTTTTTCCACCATCTTGTTCTGCAAAGCTTCTATTTATTTGGACTTTGATTCTTTCTATAGCAAAGTACTGCAGAAATACTGTATAATAAAGTCGTACGATGAGTCAAAAGTAAAAAAAAAAAAAAAGATTTTCTTTGTAATTTTAACAAGTTTTACAGTCAATAAAATATTAAGTATTTTTAACGCATCGGCATCAAATTATCCAGTAGGACTTTGAAATGATCATGCAAACCATTTTGAAGAACAAACCTATCAGACTGAGCTGCTAGCACCAGATCGCAATAACTTCTTACATTTTTTTCTTGTCAACTTTTTTCTCATAACTTTGAGATGTTTTCCAGGTAAAACGCTATCTTTATTCTGCTAATGTCATAACTTGTAATAAAACAAAACTTCTCACAGCCTGGCCCTAATGTTCTGTCGTACAACTCACCGAAGAGATGATTGAAACAAAAGCCGATTTAAAAAAAAATATATTTTTTCTGCCATTTGTAATGTATTTTTTAAAAACGAAAGCGATGGGGGAAATAAATACATTAAAACCAGACCTGGTTGAAAACATCTGAGATTTTATTTTCTTGTCCAGCCCTCAAAAGTACCTAAGTAATGGAATCCATACATACACAATCCCATTTGTGGTGAAGCTTTAACACACACCACCATAAACACATTGTCCTCACTGTGAGACACTTTAATGGCGACAACATGCTGGGGGGTCGCTTTTCTCTAGCAGAGAAAGCACATTTTTTATCAGAGTTGATGGAAAGGTGGAAGGAACTAAATATATGGCGATAAAACGCATCACAGGCTCAAAGCGCTGGCGTTCAGCTTCCAGATATTCATGTGTTTAAAATGGCGTAGTCAAAGGCCAGACCTAAACCAAAGTGAGAATATGAGTTCACCCTGCTGAAATTCAAGAATTCTCTACAAAACTGGTGGAGACTTTCAGTTGTAATTGAAGCCATTATATTTCTACCAAAAACTGACTCAAGAAAAAAAACTGATGTTCGTTTAAAAAAAAAATAGAAAAGAAAACAACCATATTTTTCTTGTTTTTTATTCAGTTAAACTCTAATTTGTGTTGGTCTTGTCCTGTTATAAATACACATTTGTGGCTGCATTGTGGGAAAAGATAAATAAATAAAAGTTGAAGGGGCGTGGCGACTTTTCCTGTGTTATGACTCCATCTGAACTGCAATCTTGGGATTTTGTTGCAAATCAAACACCGCAGCAGTCTAACACACACTTTTGCTGGTGTGTGTGTGTGTGTTTTGTTTTTTCCTCCCCTTTCGTCCTCAGTCTGTGAATCGAGACATGCCCTGGGACAGTTAGCAGAAGACGTGTGTAGGCCTACTTCTTCCTCTCCTTTAGGTAAACCAAAGCAGACACACCCACGGGTCGGTGTAACACACCCTGCTGTCTCCCACTCAAGATCTGACAACAATCTTTAGTTCATGCTAAATTCCTCACATTTTGTTTTGTTGGTTTTTTTTTAAAGCCACTTGAGTAAAGCTAAGAAACATACCCGGTTAGATTTAATCATAACTGGGTGACAACTGGATAATAGAGGAAAATCCCTTGCCTAACGCTTAAGTTTCTTTGTTGTTTCTTCCCCCCGTGAGACGTGTCCTAACGTCGAATGTCTCGTTTGTTTCCCTCCAGAGTCTGAAGGAAGGGCTGACCGCGGAGCAGAGACTCCACCTGTTCGAAAACAAAGACACGAAGGAGTTCTGACAAGCGGCGCATCACGTCTGCCTGCCGTGCCGCATGCTTAGGAGCCCACTATATTTTTAGCTCTACTATGACTTATTTAGAAACACTACACACTGGTCACTAAACACAGATCATGTATGTTATTAAAGAAGACACGCTATGAAGTTTGAATTTCATGTCTAGAGTTTGCATTCCATGCACTTCAGTTAACTGTGACGTTTTTGTATTGTTTCTCTCCTCCCTCCAGCCCCTTCTTCCTATGTCTTTATTGTAAATAATGTTTTTTTTTAAAAAAGAGCATCTGCTATGCATACACTAAACTATGACTGTGTAAGCTACTGTTTTAACACTATAGACTGTTGCTAGCCAAAGACATTTAGCTGTAATGTTGACTGGCTTAACAAAATATTTTGAGAAGCAACACCTGCGTAGCACGACCAATAGGAATGAGTCCAGTGGTCAGCCTGTTGTGACTCCTCTGCACCTTCTCCACACACATACGTGTCGTAAGCGAGCTTTGGAATGGGAGCGCTCATCCGTGTTGCCTGTCTTCCGAATTCACATCAAGCAAACCCGGCGTTCCTGGAAAGCTAACGGTATTGTTATGGGCAGATTCACGAACTATAATTTAAGTACGTACATGAAAAGGTATAGTTTTTTTTTTTTGTTTTTCTCTCACAGCAGTCCTTGGTCCAGCTGCATAGGAGTTTCTCCAGTTGGTTTATGTTTGTAGTCTTGTTCTGTGGCAGTCCCTTTGTATTTATTTAAATGGCTGGGATTTTTCTTTTACATTCCCATTCCTCTGTACTCTATTATTGTAAATATAAAGCAAATATACACCAACTGACTACAGGTTTATTAGCAATAAATATTTTTGCACCCTTGCTTATGAAGTTTGCCGTTTACGTAGTCCTCCTGAAAGTCATACATTGAGAGATGTATGGCCTTCTTTCACATTGCATCTCACGAAAAATTTACAAGAAAATCTGAAAGTGCAAAGTTTTGCTAAATAAATGTAAATTAATATCAGTAATAAAAGAAAAAGCCCCTAATATTTTATGCTGATTGGAGACCATGCTTAGCATGGTCTTGATTCAGTTTCTTGTGTACAATTTCTTCTACTTAGTTTTACTTATAGGTTTTTTACACTTCCACTTTGCCGGAAACTGAACGAATACAGTTAATAAAAAGTTCATACACAGCAATAAAAATTACATTGAAAAAACAAACAAAAAGAAACTAAAATACATTCCCCTTGTCTGAAGGATGTAGAAAATTAAATTCAACCTTCATAGGTATGCAGACTGGTGACCTTGCTGCCCAATGAATGGTTGTGGTTCTTCTTTTTTTGTACTGTATTGATTTTTTTTCACAAAATTTCACCATAGCATCAGGATATAGTGTTCATATGAGGTACTTTCTTGTTGAGGTTATGAGGTTTAGCTGTAATCCAGTGGACACCCCAATGTCAGTAATGCAGCTCCTTAGCCAACCATTATCTGCCATGCATCTTCAAAAGGTTGAACCTAACCCACCAACCTTTGCCACCCCAAACAAACTCACCATAATAGTACAAGGAGCCAAAAGTAAACAAGTTGTCCTTGTTTGTGAATGGGAAAGTTCTACACTACCTTTGTTGTGTACAAAACGGTAAAGTTTGAATTTGTAGACTTTGCTAAATCCATACAAGGTCAACGTTAGACACTCGTATCTGGTTAAATGTCCTTAAGCACATTACACCCCAGCCGTCCACCTTTGATAGGCAACAACAAAACTTGTTCTGTCTGGATATTTGTCATCTTCTTGTTACGAATATAAGTTCATTGAAATCGGTTGGTAGCAAAAGAGACTTGACTATTGCAATTATGCTTCAACAGCTTGTACAAGCCAACTCTTGACCTTTCCACTGATGGGTCCTTATCTTTGTGGCCAAACAGCTCAATGTGTTTTGTTTGACCATAACACTTTCTCTCTCTTTTGGCTTCTCATTTCCGCCAAGTTTCAAGGTATTGGCTTAGAAGTAGAAGTGTTTTTCCTGACCAGTGGCCTCGCAGTCTGTGCTGATGTAAACTGGCTTGTACTGTGGACGCTGGTGTTTCAGTGGTTTCCAGCTAATGGGTTGTGCTCTAATATCTCCTGAACAGCTGAACCAATTTTTCAGGTCATACGGAATGAAGGTAAACAAATGAAGACGGTTAGGTAATTTGTGTAAAACTACCAGGAAAATGTTTTCGTTTTGAAGGAAGTCTTTTGAAGCTGGCATAGCATCTTTGAATTGATTAATAATAATATTAATGAAAAATCACCTGCTGACATTAAATAAAATCTAACTGAAAATGATGGTAAAGTGGAATGAAACTGATCACACAGATGAGTGTTGGTCGTTTATTTTCGGTCTGGTAGACACTTAAGTGGAAAAAGCTGACTTTTTTTTATCACAGTTGTACATGACGCTTAAACTAATACGTAGAGTACGGTTAACACCCGGTCGATTAAAGAAACGGCGTTTTGGAACCTGACGATTAATTGCGAGTTAACGGGATCGGTTGTAGAAACTCGGCGATTTATTTTGGAAAGCTGCATCCGGAAGTCAGAGATTAGGTCCCAACATGACAGCGGAGCTATCAGAGTAGTGTGTTCCTGGAAAGTGAGTGGATATTTATTTCATTAAGGGCTCTTTTCTTCCCCCGCTCCGCCACAATTCCTGTGAAAGGGAGGCGCTGTTGATGGAGACGCAGGCTGGGATGAAATCCTAGCTGAATGTTTGAAAACGCAGAGATTCTCCCCGTCCGGGTAAGTTGTGTTCAGAAGCGCAGCAGAGCCCGTACACCTCCGTCCTGTCTTTGTTTCGCCCAAGCCGGGCCTTGCCTCTGCGCGGACCGTTCAAAGTAAACGGACTGCCGAACTCCATTACAAGTATTTGGTAGTTTAATAAAATGTGTGATGTCGCTTATTCTCGGACACATTGGAAGAAACGTTTAATAAACTTGGCATAAAAATCATGTGTTCTCCTATTCGGAATTAATTAAACATTATGAAGGGTGCTATTTGAGCTAAAAGATTTGGTTTCATATTTGCGTTGGACGTTTTCTCCTCGTTAAGAAGTTGGTGGTCGTCAGAAGCTTGTGAGGAAGAAGCAATATTTTCAAGTACAAGTTAAGATTTTATTTTAATATTTGTATTACGGGGGTTATAAACATAGCCGAAATGACGACAGAGGGTAGCCGTTAAATGTACGGGTATATTGCAAGTATTAAAGTTTAAGATTGCGGGGTTTTTTCAGTGTTTCGGAGAAGCTGTTAAATATCCCATGGAAATTGACACGAGGGGAGATTACCGCAGCGACACCGGGCCAGGTTAGCTCGCTAGCTCTCGCTAAGCTAACTAGCCATCCTGACCTGTCAGTGTCGGTGGGGAAAAGTTTGCTGTTTGCCTTTAGACCCGTTTTTCTCCTAAAGTAACTTCTTCAAATCACTGACGTGTTAACCCAGTCTAAAATGAAGCCAGAAGGCGAACTGTCGGCCGTTCCTGTTTTGTGTGCTATTTACTACAGGAGTTAAAGCCAAGTACACGTCAGTTACGTAGCTTATGACAGCGACGTGACTTCAAAGGGTCGCGCGGTTCAACCGTTTGCTTCGTCCTAAAATAGTTGAGAGATTAACGTTGATTTTATTCGACATTTCCTGCGCAGGTCGGAGGGATTTCTCACAGCTGCGGTTAGAGATTCTAAATGTACTCAAGAGTTTCATTGTCATTAACTCAGGGTTTTTGTTGTTTTTTTCAATTTCCATCTAACATCAGCTATAGTATAACTAATATTTTAGTTGGGTTCCAGGCACCAGTTGAGTTTTATTAATCATCTGAACATCTGAAATATGACAGTGATTTGAGAAAGTTTGATCTGTTTTGGGAAAGGAACTAACTGTCAATTGTGCCATGTGATCCCTCTGGTGTGGTTAGGCATAAATAAACTTCATGAAAAGTCTAACGTCATTTAAGTAAATATATCTTTCCATCTGTTACAGTTGTTATGGAGCAGCCACCTGGGACCTTGGATGATCTACAGCATCAAGGTGCCTCTTCCCCCGCTCGCTCCAGCATAATTGACTTGACCAGGAAAGACGACGAAAACCTCCTCGCATCGCCATCTCTGGATGCCTTGCGGAGGGTCAAGAGCTCTGGCTGGGGTCCCAACTCTGAATCTGCCATCCCCGGGTTACAGTTGTCAGAGCCCGGCTCCTCAGATGTCACAGTTCGACCAGAGGATCAAATTCAGCCAGACAATGCCTTATCCAACACTACAGTCACCCTGTCCTACGTGAACAGGTCTCATGTCTTCTCCACTCTCAGCTCTCCTCTGTATAGTGTGTCGCCTGTCAGCAAGTCTTCCTTCCACCCTCAATGCAACACTGACAACGGATTTGAGGAGACCAGCTATGCACTGAACCAGCATTTCCTGGAACAGGATAAGGAACCTGTTAACCTCGTCACACATGCAGAACTGTTCCCCTCGCTTTCTCAATCTCAAGTGGGACCACCGGATAGTGCTAGAGAATACAACGTGAAAGAGCCTCCAAAGTTTAATGGAGAAGTCATTTCCAGGGATGGATGTAATAAAAAGCTACCGGCAGAAGAAAAACACAGCATTCTTTTTGAAAGTAGAAATTGTGTAGAGAACGGTCGGCATGACGGTTGGTCAGAAACTCTCTGGGATGAGGATGAGGACAGAGGGACATCCGATGTGCTTTTCATTGGGGCTATGAAACAGGACCAAGAGGTCTCCAAAAGAGGCAGTTCCACAGATGTGCGTTCAGTGAGCAGGGAATACAAGAGCCCTTTGGAGGATCCCGTCTCCCCACCCTCTACCCCAGTAGACAATGTGGAGGATGTGTTCCTCCTTCCTCAGGCCTCCAACTCACCCAGCGCAGATGACTTTTATTTAGAGGCTGCCAATAATGCTGTGCATGACACCTTGAGTTCAGACAGAACCACTCGGGCAAGCTCTGCTGTCAACGATGGCCCAACAAGGTTAGAGTCACATGATGAAAGTAAATCCCAGAGACGGAAGGCTGTTTTGGAGCCTTTGATTGACTTGGCTGATGATTCCTGTCTGAATCCGGAGAACAAAACCAGTTGTGCCATTCGTCACGTTAATGGGAGTGCAAATGTGCTGGAGAGGACGATAAAAGAAAGGAAACTGCCCATGCGTTCTGGAAGAGGGACTCGACTGGAAGCAATAGTCATGAATATAAATTCAAGTTGCTATAAAGTGTCCAGCAGCATACATGCCAAGAAGAAACCCAGTGCCTCTCAGTCAGTAACACACACTTCTGCCTTGCCCAGATCCAAGAGGAAAGTGGTGGAAGGTAAGGCAAAGGCTGCATTCTTGCCGAGAACCGTCAAAAGAAAAGCTGTGAACTTGAAAAAAAGTAAACCCAGCAGCGTCGACGCTCAAAGTTACAATGACTCTACCTCTGTTTCTGAACCCCTCAACAAGACCGAAACGTCAGACACACCTGCTAAAAGACCTCGATTTGCGAGACCAAGCAGAAAACCAGCACGGCCATCTCGGAGTAGGCATGTGAAGTCCAAGACGAAACCCCTTTCTCAGTCAAGTGCCCAGTTCCCCACACATAAGAACTTGAAGAAGAAGCCAGAGTTGGTTACTGTCCCCGAACCCTCAGTGGAAGTTACTGCATCAAAGGTGTTGCCCATTCGTCCTCCACCAAAATCTCCAAAGAACAACCAGGTTGACCCGAAAAGCAAAACATCATCTCCCACCAAGAAGACAAAGACACCCCCAAAACGGAGACGAAAGAAACCCAGGTGCAGCCAACCTTCCTCCATGTTCTCCCCAAAGGAGCCTGAGATCAAGCTCAAGTACATCACCTACAAAGAAGAAAAGAAAGATGTCAGGTTGGACAGTTTCTCTCCTTTTGTCCGTGTCAAGCGACAACAGTCATCCCCTGCTCTGTGCACAACAGTGAATTACCCCGAGGAGGTGAAGACAGAACCCAAACAGCAGCAGCAAGGTCACTCCAGTTGCTTTGTCTCAGCCGTTGTACCCACCACTTCCTGTCTGTATCTGGGACGATTGTCCACACATGGCCAACATCAGCGTGCTCTCGTCTGCTGTCTGTGCGGCCGCTCGGCCAACTCCATCGACCTGGGGGATCTCCACGGACCCTATTACCCCGAGGGGTACCGGCCGAACACCAAAGCACCGGCCAACGTATCGGGTCTGAAAGAAGATGAGGAAGACTCCAGCTACTCCGACTCTTCCTCCAACACTACGAGAGCCCGACGCTGGGCAGCTCCGCTAAAGCAGAAGGGCCTTTTGGGGAGCCGCAAGTGGTCCAGTGGTAGGATCAGCAGTCCCGCAGCCAAGCGGGCGAGATCGGACGGCGGACTTGCGGATGCAAAGGACTGGTACAGCCCGCCCGTTCTCCCCGTGGAGCCATGCGAATATTGGCTCCACGAGGATTGTGGCATCTGGTCCGCAGGCGTGTTCCTTGTCAGGGGCAAAGTTTACGGGCTGGAGGAAGCCGTCAAGGTGGCCCAAGAGACGGTAAAGCTGCTCTTTTTAATGGAATGCCAATACAGTAGGCATAGTTGTGGTTGATACTAGGTCTGAAACGATTTCTCAAATAATCGATTCCTCGATTATTAAAATTCCCCTTACCTGCCTCGAAGCTTCGTTAATTTATATTTTATTATTTAGCGCACCGTGTTCCGGCCGGCAAATTACCTGTGTAAAAACCGATTCAAATGTTTTCATCTAGCAGCCTACTGAAGAAAAGTTTGAACTCTCTTCGATGTTCACAGAGATGAATCATGGTCCTAAGAAATTGCTTCAACATCAGCAATCCCTCCTCCCTTCAGTCTGTGAAAGCTTCTCTTTGGCCGACTGGAACATTGTTTTCCTGCGGTTCTAGTTTGGCTCTCTTGACGTTAATCCCGCTCTTCTCAGCTGATCTCTTCCAGTTTGCAAACAAACTTTTACTCCCGTTTCTGCCTGTTTTCTCCTCTGTTTTTTGTTTGTACACTTCCTGTGTTCAAGCCAAGATTGCTTTGTTTTCTGTCCTGCTTCATTCATGCCTTCCCTCACGTCCACCTGGAAGTTTCTCTGTTCCAACCAGGACATTTTGTTCCATGTTTCGGACCCAGCTGTCTGGGAACAACCAGACTCTTTGTTGATTTCGTTTCTTGAAATAGTTTTCAGACTCTTTCACTTGTTGCAAGGGTTTCTTGTTTATTAGCCAACCTCGTTGTTGTCTCCACACTTTTCTTTTATGTCTTATGCAGGGTTCTTCCTCCACTTTGAATGATTTTGTTTTATTTCTTCTACTTGATAGAAGTAGAAGAAATGCATGTTCCACTAGTAACAATAACCTTATTTTTTTTTTCAGAATTTTTTTATATTAATGTAATAATTAATATAATATATACTATTATATTCCATATATCTGCTGTTTCTTTTCTTTCCTTTTGCTGCCCCAACAGAGCAACCAAACCTCTAAGACGTATTTCTGGATTCTTTGAGGTTGTCATCACTCAGGCTGCGCTCAGGATGCTAAATCCAGATGTTTCTTTTTTACTGAAATCAGATTTTTTTTTTTCCATGATCGTCATGCCAATTATTAAACCCGACATCTTTGTGAACGGTTTACGCCGTTAAAAACCCCCGTCAGATACGCGTTGCGTTTGCCTGCCGTGTGAACATAACGCAGTGTTTTTAGTTTTTCCCGCCGCTTGTTAGCTTTTACCAGCAAACATGCGATGAACTCACTGCAAGAGTAATCATCAAAGTAATGATGCTGGACAGTCTGCAGCAGATTTAGTCGGATTTATGGCGCAAACCTCATGAAAGTGACCAATCAGAGGCTTTTAGAAATCGGAACAAAGAAACGTTTTGTCCTACTTCCTCCACCTCCAGCCTGTCTAACTCACCTGCTCGTCGTTGGACCTGTGTCTTTCCAGATGTGTTCGGCATGCCACAATCCGGGAGCAACTCTGGGCTGTTTCTTCAAAGGCTGTCCTAACAAATACCACTACAGGTGTGCTCTGGAGTCAGGTGAGGGCTCGCCGTTTGTATTTTCTTTTCTTTTTGTTGCAGCTGCACTGCATAGCACCTCGCAAAAAAACATTCTCACCCTTAGTCGCGTTGAAACCACAAACCTCACTCGCATCTGGCGCGACAGACTCGCACAGAATAGTGCGTAATTTTGAAGACGGAGGAAATCAAGTTGTGTTTTATTTTTTTTGCTTGATTTTTGCACATTTTGAGACAAAATGTTTGGAGCTTCAGCGTTTACAGCGTCATGTAAAGCTTTTCAGATTCTCTTTTTTTTTCCTGTTTCTATATTTAGAAACAGAAAATTATATTTCAGGTACTTTTGTGTCGGTGTATCACAGGACACGCACGCGTACAGTGAAGCACATTGATGTTTGTGTTCGTAACGTCAGATAACATAAGGCCCGTTTTGATGGCAAATTTTGCTGGACAATAAATCGTCCCAAAAATTACAGAGGTAATGATGCAATTATCATTTTGAGACCATTTTCAACTAATGTAATAATTACAACACTAGTAAAATATCATGCAAGTTTGCCCTCTCAAAGACTACTACACTTTTGATTTTGTACAGAACATTTAACACAACATCCAAAAGCAGCAGATAAAAAGAAAACAAACACACAGAACTGAAAACATGAATAAAAATTCATCAAGTCTCTAAACAAAATTGAAAAAGTTGAACCATCAGGAAGGAAATTAATCATGCTACTAATTGCTTATTGCAACAGGCTTAGTTACTATTAACCCATTTTGCAAAGTTCTGTGTGTGTTTCGCTTTCCGAGTTGCTACCACAGTCGGAGAAAATCTGGACACACACATACCAGAAACTGTAGCTGTGTGTGTGTGTGTGTGTGTGTGTGTGTGTGTGTGTGAAGCAGCAGCTTTGCGAGGCGCTGTTGGCTGCAATAACTTCCTCCGAAGCCAGAAGTGGTGCGTGTGTGGGTGTCTGAACCGCTCAGATGAATCAGCAGGACATCTCTATAAAAACCTTCTCCTCTTGTTCCCGCAGACTGTGTGCTCGTCGAAGACAATTTCTCCATGAAGTGTAAGAAGCACAAGGTGAGACTCCAAGAAACCACAGGCAACAAGCGTCAGAAGAAAAAAAAACTCAAATAAAGTAAAAAAACACAAAAGGTGAAGCTCAGCGGTTTAACGTCGACGGGTTGTTGTTGTTTTTTCCCACCAGAACAAAACGCTGAAAGCGCCTCCGGGGAGCCGACGGGACGACAGGTGACAGATTACATGGACCGCGTGAGTGTCGGAGCCTGAAACACCGTCGTTATTTCCCAGAACGGGAGCAAATCGTAATGTCAGATATAATGTCACAAGGTGTCCACTGATAGTCAATGTCTCACGTAGAGGAGGCGTGTCTTCAAAAAGAGATTAAAAGAAAAGAAAATAGTGGATGAAGGTTTTGCTGGCCGAATAACATTGGGATTTCACACATGAGCACAAAAAGGACATTTCAAGGGTTCCTGAAAGAATATTCTGATGTGGAAACTTTGGTTTGTTTCCGCTAAGTAGGATGAACGTTTTAGAAAATGATCCCGCCTCCAGCCGAACGCCTCGGTTTTATCCGCATGCTTCATTTCAACCCCCTTTGTGTTATTCTTTCCATAACGGCAGCAGACGCAGGGCCAAGTATGGACACAGCAGAGATTGGATCGATGCATGAACGATACACTGATACACCTGTTTTAGTATGAACACAATTTCCATAAGTATTCTAAAAACACACATTTGTTCCTGCAGCCTGCAGCGCGCTCTAACCAATATAATTCAATCATTTTGAGATCTTTTCACTTTGATATGTTTCTTTCTTACAAACTTTGGCGTTTGGAAAACCTGCTGCAAATGCTGCCTCCTTGTGGTTTTGTTTTGCAAATTTCTTTCAAGTTTTTTTTTTTTTTTTTTTTCTGTCAGAAGGTACCTAAAATAAAGCAGATCATATTTGTAGAAAGGCAGTCGTTTCATGAACCCACACGCACGTCAAACTATTTGCATACTTTATCAATGAAACTAAACGGGATCAATTCTAATGCAAACGGTGCTGCAATCTGCCGCATCAGCATCAGCTGCCACGGTTTACATCATCAAACAGGCAAAAGCTTCTGTCTGTTTGTGGCAAATAGAAGTTGAATACAAGGAAGACAATTCCGATCAAGCCACATTCACACATTGGTGAGACATTATAATAAACTAAATTAAAGCCATGCCTGTTTTTTGGTCAAATTCACAATTATGTTGTTGTTTTTGTAGGTCTATAGGATAAAAGGTCAACGATGTCAAAAGGTTGTTTTTTTTAAGCCACTCACACACTGTTAGTCTTTCAGGGTTCCGCCCCCCTGTGTATAATAAGCCTGGCGGGCCACCAGGCTTTCCTTGTACCCCACCAGTTTTAGCTTGGCTTAGTTTTTTAAGTCTCTTTAAAATGTTTCCCTTTTTTTTTTTAAAAGACTTTCTAGTTGGTGTTTCGGTATTAATCTTCCAGTCTTTTAATAACACACAATTATCAAGAGATATTTTTCAAAATTCCTGTCAACTTTAAGCATTTTTTTTAACTCAAAAACACGACGGGCCGCTGGATGAAAGACCGCCCTAGAACCCAAGCAAAGGCATTTCATGTCTTTAAAAACATGTGTTTTCTAAAGTGATCCACCACACATTAGTTGGCTGCTTATCACCACTGTGCGTGTGTGTGTGTGCGTGTGCGTGCGTGTGTGTGTGCGTGTGTGTTTGGTTGATAGCAGCAGTAGCACCGTTCCCCTCCCAGTCGGGCCCTCGGAGGCTCGGTTTTAAAACGCATCTTAATCGACACTTCTTTATTTTTACAGAATCCTGCAGGAATCCGCTGGTAACCATGACGATGCCAGACCAGGGTCACCCCGCCCCCCATCCCCCCCCTCCCCGCGCCCCGCCACTCCTGGACTGACAGCTGGCACCACAAACCTTAGGGACTCCCTCTGCTCTTCAGAGTGACTGTTCTGCCCCCAAACAACCTGCGGACTGCAGGGAATTACAGAGTAATGTGCTGAATTTGTCGTTTTGTCTGGTTATTTATATGGGATTGTTCTGTTTCATTTTGCCTTTTTGTTGCTCAGATTGATATGAATAGTAATCAAAGATATTTAATTTTTTAAAAAGATTTTGTAAGTATTTGATTATATTTGGTTTATTTATTCCTGAACTCTTCTTACGGGCTTCTTCAGCTGCTTGTCAAAGAGGATTAATTGTAAAGTGTTTGTGTGAGGGTGTGTGTGTGTTTGGGTTTTTCTTTACTCTCCTTTTGGAAGTTATCAGTTTAGCATTTTTAATATTCCCCAACAAGTCGAGGAGTTTTTGATTAGTTTTATACCCCTAAACCTAATATGGGACATGAATAAATGCGACTGAGTCAAGCTGCTGCGCTTGCACAACAAGCTGAGTAGGCATGGGCATTACAACCACAATATCACTGTTTCCTGGTATTCACATTAAATACAAATAGAATAAAATGGTCTAATTTAATGCAGAAAAGCAACAACTGTTCCTACTGGTTGCAAAATATCACATATTAACTGGTATCTTCTTTTAAATGCATCAAATTGAGCAAACTCATAGAACAGCCACTTAACTGCTTGCTAGCATCTTATGCTTTAAGCTAACAAGCTGCTTTTAAAGGGACTCTTCCAGTTTGCAGTAATAATTCCCTTTCTTGCATTACAGTGTGTTTGCATAAAGAAATCCTCAGAGCAATGGGAGGCTAACTAACGGCTAGTAAGACGACTTCATGTTGACTGACGCTACGTTAGCGGGCGCTAAACGCCTGCAAGCATCTTGTATCTTGTGGCATTGTGACATCTGTTTTGCTCTATATTTTCAATCAAAATCTCTACTTGACTAGTTATTCAGTCCAGTGCTCTTGTAGCAACAGATGGGGGAGGGGCAGGGACGTTTGATGCTTGTTAAGCGCCTGCCCATGCCTACAGCAGGACATTGGACCATCACTAATAGTATTAGGAGCTTTGCTTTTAATGACGCACTGGTTGAAACCACAGATGATTTTATCAACGCAGTCCATCATTGTGTGTGTTTGTGTGTATGTGTTTGAATGTATGCTAACAGGAAGCACTCCAGTCCAGTGCCCCGCCGCACTGTTCAGCTCTTTTCTCGTGGCTCTTTGATTGCTCTTTTGCCACCTTCTCCTCATCATCAAACTGTTTCTGATGATTTAGTTTGTTTGTTTTTATGGGGTTTTTTGTGCAACTCCAAAGCACTTTGGCCCCCTCACGTTATGATGGGATCATTAGGGGGGGTAAAAAAAAAAGAAACGTGGCCATTTGGTTTTCGCCGGCGCTGCCTTTTAAATCAGTCGGACTTCCTGCGAGTCTCATAATAGCGGAGCGAGAATCCAGTGTGGTGTGTGTCGTCCTTTTTGTTTCGCTTCAGCTCCGCCGTCAGTCACTGAAAGGTTTCTCGTAAAAGGCCGTCCCTACGACGCGTTTCATCTCCTAAAACGCAGCATCTGCGCCTGAACCCTTTTTTATAAAAAGCCTTATCTGATCTGCAGAGGGGGACAAAAGTTTATCTGAGCTGCAGTGACAAATTAGTTCCTGACTAAAGGCACCTGGCTTGCACTTTTTCTGTTTTGTTTGTTTGTGTTTGTTTTTGTTTTCTGGTGACTTTAATTTTTAGAAAGTCTGCGTGCGCGGCGCTCTCCGTGCCACCGGGGGCAGTATTGAGTTGCCTGATTGTAACTGTCAGATTCTCCTCTCAGCTTTCGGTCACCAGCAGCAGCGCGAAGCGTCTCACAGGAATCCGAGTCTCGCATTTGAAAAAAGAAAAACGTTCCGGCTGATTGCTTTGTGCCATCTCTTTGTCTTTTTGACATTTTTCCCCAGTTTGTGTTTGTATTGCAGTAAAGCAGTGAGTTTCCTGCAGGCTTGTCTGGAAGCTTCGGTGATTTGTACCAAATATACATTTCTGAATATGTTTAAAAAAAAAAAAGTTAGCATTTTTTAAAAGTATATATATATATACATGTTGCTCTCAGGGCTGAATCTCAGATATTGTAAAGATTTCGGGTTTGTTTGTTGTTTTTTTTCTACCTATTTTTATTAAAACATTTTTGTAAGGCTGTTCCTGCAGTAACTCATGGAGCAGGAGGAGGTTTCCTGCCTTTCCTCTCCCGGTACACACTAAACGTTACATTCCGCCTCCTTTTCCTTTTCCTCCGTTTGCCTCAGTGCTGTGCTAATTTTGAGTTTGACATTAAAATAAGACTGCCATCTTGTTGTTTTAACGTTGCCATCATCTGAATTTTTATTTTGTTTGATTTTTTTTGTACCGTCTCGTTCACCTCTGTGGAGTATCAGAGGTCTCGTAATTGTCAGAATAAATATTTTGTTCAATCTTCTGGGTTTTCTGTCTGATCTGTAGTAATACATAAGAAAAAGCAATATCTGAAAATAGCATTCCTGATGCTGCTGCCACCACCGTGCTTTACTCTTCCAGTTTAGTTTTTCCCTCCACTGCTCTGCTGCTTCGTTCTGATGTAGGGAGTCGAGAGGTTTGCTTCATTCACATGAACCAGACCGGTTTGGACATTTACTTTTCTCCTTAATGAGTAAAATTCTCATTTCAAAACCTCATTTTTTTGTGCACTCGGGTTAATTCTGTTAGGTAATCTGGAGTGTGATTGGTTTCAACCATTTAGTACTCAGAGATTTCACAGATTTCAGTTGTGAGCTTATATCTAAAATAAGTCATTTGGTTAAAATAAAAATTGAGAGAGCAGAGTTGAAATCAGGTCTACTGCTAAAGCAAACCCCTTAAAATTCAAATGTCATGGGATTAAAAAAAGAAAGAAAAGAAAAGACCAATTTCACTCCAACACATATTCTCATTTTATTGACTAAATCTCAGCTTACAGGAAGACGGATGTTTTGCAAAGACAAAAGTGGGTAGGAGTTCTAGTGCTGTGGTCATCTACTCATCAAAACTCTGCTAAAATCATAATGATGGGAAATATGTCACCAAACAGACGAAGGGATTTCATTACACACACAAATCACGTTATGGATGAGAGGACGAAGCAGCAATCACAGACTCAGACACTAGGAAACGAAAAGGGCCAAGTGGCTTCCACCAACTCGGGAATCTAAATGTATTTCGCCATTTTCAGCTCAAGCACAAAAGTTTTTTCGAAGCAAAGAAAACGAGTGAGGGTAAAACCGATTACGTACTCTGGTTTTGGCCTGCAAGTCCCTAAATTTCTTACCAAACCAACAACAAGATTACAAAGCTGTTCATTCTCAAATGAAACAAACAGAAAAGTTTGACATCAATGATTCAACATTGAAACAAAACGTCCAGTTTGTGCATCCAGTTAACGAAAACGCCCGGAGTAAAATTCCTGCTACATTTAACATACACAGTATTGCTGGTGGGATTCGGATGATGATGGATTCTAAAACTGAATAATTACTAGTCATGTCTTCTTCAGTTTAACACATTCATGAATATAGAAACTAAAGTAATACTCAATTGCCACGTTAGTTAATGGGCAAAATCTTAATTTGGAATCCAAATTCTAGAATTTTAAATTTTAGAAGCAATTTCAAAAAGGGGTAAACTTCCATGAAGCTGCTGTAATCATTTTGAAAATAAGTCAAATTCTAGCAGCTATTTTCTAGCAGAACTTTTGAAATAACTTCTTGTTTCTCTCTGTTTATCGCTGCATTCTTTAACCACTGGAGTTATCGCCACTAAACACTTTTGGAAACTTTGTGCTAACAGCGGGCAGAACCTTGACATCGGAGGAAAGGTCATGTTAACATATTAAAGTCCATATTTAGTCCAGAAAAATGGATTCTTTCTCTCGTGGTCCAAATGCAGGCATGAATGTATCTTTGCTAGGACATTTGAAACTTAGCAATAACCTCCAAGTCAATATTTCTGGAATATTATCTCAGGACACAGAAACGTCTGCTGCCAAAATAACTTCACATTTTACAATTAGAACAACTTGGAGTTGAACTTCAGATAAAAATCTGGCATAGCCAAAGCTTTTAGTTGCTTATTGAACGGAACATTTGACGCTTTTTCTCATTCGACTCTTAACAGCAAAACTCCTGTTAGCTCAGTTAGCTCAGGCTATGAGCCAATGTTAGCACGCGGCTCGTTGCTTGTTTTAAAACTGGATTACCTTAAAGCAAGTGATAGGTGGCGCACCTTTGTTTTCCCACACCATGAGCTCCTGCGTTTTACCTGAGCAGCCGCTTTATCTACCTGGTTACTTGTCATGGCCCCATGTCCACTTTAAACAAGTAAAAGGTTAAAATGCCTCTCAATGGGGAACCTACGAGACATAAACACAAGAATTACAACACCCATGTATCTCAATAGGAATAGGAATTCCCTGACTTTTCAAACTGTGCAAAATAAACCCCAATAACTCAAAGACGCCATTAACCGTATCTACCGGGTGCTTTAATTGCTCCATGAGCTCATGTACAGGTTTCACGCGGTCATGTGAATTTAGCGTGTAGCTCACAGCCAGCTGGAGAAAACAGCGGGGCTACAGTTTCTGCATCAGGACAGTCCTTTGTTCTGAACCAGAAGGCTGCTGATGAGGTCAGAGATGTCACAAGATGTACTTAGCATACATGCCCACTGATGATGAAAATGCACAAACGTACGGGCTTTAGCTGGACTGGCTGTTCCTCCGTCGGGGAGTATCCATGCTGAGGCTACTGACACTCACAAGATAAAGAAACACATCGTCGGCAGCGGCTGCACTACATCTACGGGTTACTACGGCCTGGGGTTGGAGAAACACTGCGCAGGTTTTCACAAGAGAGCGTTTTTAGCACATACATGTTCATGCAGGTTAATGTGTGGAAAGCGAAAGCCATTCCTACACATGATTTTTAAGCCTTGGAAAATATCATTTTTCTTAAATTATTTTTTCATAGTCAAAAAACAGGAATGGTTTGCTTTTTTTTTTTTTGCTTTTTTTGCCATTATTCTAACTCGGATAAAAAATACAAAAAGCTTCACTACCTCATCAAAGGCCATTTAGAATAAAGCTCTTCAGATGAAACAGAGGTTTCTGATTACAGCCTCTCGCTCCAGTGCCCTCATGCTTATTATTTTTTTAGCTGTTCTTTAAAGTGGTGAGATGATCACACAATAACACAGATATTTCACACAGAGTAAAAACTAATTACTGTTTTGTTTTTTTATAGTACCAGATATTCTCGAGAGATCATAACACTGGTATTCAGTCTTGATTACAATGCGAGAAGGTGTGCTACTGCAAAAATGATGACATATTTTGTCAAAACCTTTTCCTTTCACAAGTGTAATTTTTTTTTTTTACTGTAAGTGTGAGCAAGTCATGCAGCTATAAAGTTGGTGTTATTTTCTTTTTTCTTCCAAATTGAGCTAAGATCGTCTCTTTTTAGTCTACATACAGTATTTCAATAGCAGTGTCAAAGGAAACACATGTTCGGTAAAAAATAAAACACAATGAAAACAAAAAGCGTCGCTGACAGATTTTTCCTGTGAAGCTTCAAAGATAAAAGAATTTCAGGAGTAAATATAAAAATAGAGACATCATAGTCATTTTCTCTCACCTAAAGTTAGGCGAATAGTGTTAGATTTTTCTGGTGCGAGCATTAACACCGGTTTGCTCATCAGTTGGGGTGTAACAGTGTTTTGTGGTGCGAAATCTCGTTATACTGAAATGTGTTGACATTTCTGTCACACACACATATTCTTGTCTAGCTAATATGTGGGGCAGGATCACCTGGTGAAACAGATTCGAGTCCCTGATTTGACATTAAGTGCTTCAAGCTACATCTGGAAATTGTTTTGCAGTTTGTTTATCCAAAGTAAGAAAAAAAATGATAGTGTTGCGTTAACTGAGTTGACCACAAATTGAGGATGGCAAATTGGGCTGGATGATAACAATCTGATAAATTAGCATTTGGAAGTTGACACCATGACTTAAATCAGTAATTTTGATACGCTATAGGGAAGCCAACAGAAGCTAACAATGCTAAAGCTACTAGCATCTGACACAAAACTTCCTATAGGCATTTAACTAAATATGTTTTTAGTATTATTTTAAGGAAGCATATTTGATCATTTCTAGCTATAAATCTGACAAAAACTGGATGAAAACAAAAATGTTAGTTTAGATTTAACTTGTGAATTAAGGTAAGCATAAACCATAACAGATCTGAAATCAATAACTCTCACCTTAAATGGACATTTTTCAAAATACATTTTGTGATTTTTTTGAACCCTTCACATTATTTGTGAGTCAAATCTCTGTGGTGAACTCAGTGTCACGGATCACAATATCTCATGAGCTGGACAAATCGTTACACCCCGACTTATTAGCCGACCGCAAGTGTTGCACAGGGAAGAGGAGTCGGAAGTCATTTTACAGTATTCACTAAAGTGGAAAAAAAAAGAAAGCTACATTATAAAAAACAAAAAGAAACAAAATAGAAAAAACAATTTTAGTCTGTACGATTAAATAAATAAATTGTATCTCAAAGCAAAATACACTTTTTTAAGATTCATACACACAAACACACTTTCACATTTTTGTTACACTTTGTCTCACTTCGTCAACCAGGGTGTTTCTTCGAGTTCTGTTTTAGTCCTCATCATAGAAACAAGTCCTTCGTCGCTTCATCACAGCTTGTGAAGTCTTCCCTCAAATTATTTTTGCTGCAAGTATTGCTCTATAAAATACATTTTGGTTTTCTTTTCTGATGGTTTTAGTCACGGAGCTTCTCACTTTTTCTTTATATTCTCATGAAATGCATCTCAAAATGTCCCTGGATTGTAAACAAAGCCTCTCCTGATGACATCCAATCAAAGATCTTTCTCTATGTGCCTTCAATTAAGATCTCCTAAGTCTTCAACGTGTTGACTTTCTTCCCGAGATGTAGAAAACAGGATACACGTTAGTACTTTTAGTCTGGTCTTGTTTCGATGCATGCACAACTATTGCAGTTCGAGAGGTATGGAAGTGTGGGTTGAGTCAGTCGCAGAGTTCGTCATGCTCACACGCAGATCTCAATGGGTGTAGCCACTAGCAAGCGACCGCCAGGGGAACCGCTTTCCCGTGGCATTCGGTCGTAACTGTTAGTGGACGACACCGAGCTGTTAGTGGAGACAGACACAAAATGATGTCCTCCACCCGGGTCCATCATTGCTCCCTTGGCCCCGCCACCACCGCTGCCTCTTTCCACCACCATGGGAGACATTGGAGAGAGGGGCGAGAGCGGTGAACGAGGCGACAAAGTCTGCTGCTTCATCCTCTCCACCAGGAGCTCCTCATCTTCTTCTCCTGATGAAGAAGTAGAGATGGTGCCCTCCATATCTCCTCGCACATTCCCTCCTCCTCCTCCTATGTTGCTCCCACCAACCATCTCCGCGCTACCACTCCCCCCTGCATTGCCATTGTTGTCATGCTCTGCATCCAGCATCCAGGAGTGGCTGAAATACCCGAATACCTCCTTAACGGAGCAGCGGCGGTCCTGCTCCACCGAGAGCAGGCGGCGGAACATTCGCAGTGCCTGCTCGGTGAAACGCCTCCACTGCGATGGCACCGTGTTCGTCCTCCTCCTCTGCCAGTGGATGAACTCTTGATAGAACGTATCGGTGGGAAGCGCCTTCTCCCAAGGGAAGTTGCCAGTCAGCATGCAGAAGAGCAGCACACCAAAAGCCCAGACATCGGTGCTGTAGTCCACACAGAAACCCTCCTGGCGGGAGGCATCGCAAAGCTCTGGGGCCGTGTAGGGAATGGTGCCACTCACCTGGGGAGAAACAGCAACAGGTCAGGACCATGTCAGAAAAAAGAGCCCATAGCGATCAAGAAAGTTCAATGGGGACTTACTCTTTTTACAGGCGAGCCAGCCCGACGGGTCATGCCAAAGTCTGAAAGCTTGACTTTGCGACACTCTCTGTCGAAAATGAGAATGTTTTCAGGCTTGATGTCCCTGTGGACGAGCTTCTTACAATGTAGATAATCCAGAGCAATGGCCACTTGATGCACGCAACGCTTTGCCACTGACTCAGGTAGACCAACCTGAAAGACCAGATGGAAGAAGAACATGTCGTACAGTTAGGACTTTCCAAATTAGAGCCATTAAGGAGGGCAGACAAAAGAGTTGAGATCCCTTCAAGTTCTCAAATATAACATCAGACAATGCCATTCAGGAAGAGGAATATTATGGGTTGCGACATCAACACGCTTGGGTTGACAAAATGCTTGTAAGTCTTTACTACTTTTTAGGAAACAAGGTAATCTTCTTATTTATTCATGGGAAGAGATTTAGAGCACAAACTACAGTGACAGTTTGCATTTTCATCCAGTTGGTTCTGACAGTTGCTTCAAAACCAACAAATAATGGAGAATGACATAGTCAGTGTTGAAGAGGAAACTAATGCTGATGTAATATGAAAGTAGAGTCAGTCTATTCGTCATGTAATGTCTTTTCTGATAAGTCAAAATGATAGCAGTCTATGTAGGAACAAAGACTACAACACCACAAGATGCTCGATTGTGTCGGCTGAGAATGATTGAACCTGGACTGTTTTTGAAGGGAAACTGCTCTGCTGTTATACTATTTTACTGGTCAAATGACTTAAATTATCGTTTTGGTGAATGTTGTGAATTAAGAAACAATCAGAATGGCGGCTATAAGTCGGCACCTGTGGGGGAATGATGTCGAAGAGGTCTCCTGCCAAAGCATACTCCTGGGCGAAGACATAGTACTCGTCCGTCTCAAAGGCAATGCCGTACATGTTGATGATGAAGGGGCAGGGGGAGAGGTATAGCGAGATGCTGTACTCCCGAAGGAATGATTTCAGCTTCGTCGTCTTCTTCTTCAGAAACTTCAGCGCCATTTTTGTACCTTTTGAGAAAAGAAAGATTGTGAATGCCTTCTCAGAAAAAGCAGCATAAAATGTGTCCACATGCTAAGTCCCTCACCTCGGATCTTGTGGATCACCAGGTCCACCTTGCCGTAGGTACCCTTCCCCAGCTCCCGGATCACTTCATAGTACTTGTTGACCTCCAGCCTCTCCAGGTTCTGAGCAGCGATCAGCTGCAACTCGTCCAGGATGTCCACATTAGCTCGAGAAACCAGCGGAGAGGAGCTCATGGTGGCAGCTGTTTCCAACGACGGGCTGGGGTGAAGAAGTGTTGGTCAGTGAGGAGAGGCGAAGCAGCTAGCAGCTGAGGTCACTGCACAAAAACCAGACAGGGACGTGATTTTTTAGTTACATGTATTGAAGCTTTTTTCAGAATTTCAAAAACTAAGCTAAAGATTTTCTTAAAGAAAAGTTTACAAATTAGAAAGAAAAGTAAATATATGAATAAAAACAGTTCAATGTCATAAAAAGACAGGTCTGAAAACATAATCAAGACAACATATTAATGTATATATTATATCAGTTTCTAACACCGTAACAGTAAGCATGAAGTCAACAAAGCCTAAACTCCTTTATCCAAAAAGAACTGACTAAACCCAAACGTAGTTTAGACGTGTTTAGTGCTACAATTTTCTCCAAGCCTGTTGATTTTCAACACATCTGTGCTGTGAAAACAATCAACAGTAACATATTGGAGGCTCACCGCCATAAACAACTTGTGCAGTTCCTTTTTACACCTTTATTTTCACTTAAGATAGCTGAGAAATCTGTGAAAAGTCCTGTTGGCAAGCGGTCATGACTGAAATGATCAAGTCTGTTCAGGTCCGTCCTTCTGCTCAGTGGATCACCTGCAGCATCGCAGTGAGATTTCCTCATGTTCCAGGCTTCCTCCTTTTAGCTGCAGCATGGTTTCTCACTGAACGCTACTGATTTTCAAGAGGAATCGAGTTGATTTGTTCATGTGTTCACGGCTACCGTGAGAGATGGGCTTGGTTTGTGTAAACGCAACAAATTTTGAGGACAGTGTGTGAAAACATTTGCTTCTGTGGAGTTAAGGAAGATTGGGTTTATATTGATTGTATTGTAAATAACTGCTGAATCTAAAGACAGGACATCCCAAATGTGGCTGTTATATACTTTTGTTTTGCAGAAAAGTTGATAAAATAACTAAGTATCACAGGAGATTTACTTTATTTGCTCTATTTATAAGAGGAACTACAATAATTCCACAAATTTAAACATCTCACAGCAGGAAACTTGTCTTCTTTTCTATGTTATTCTTTATTCTAAAACTTTAAAACGTAAATATAATCAAGTTCTTTAAAGATGACAAAAATTTCCTGAAGTAGCTATTTATCAAAATTTTTAAGTTGTATTTATTTATTTATTTTACATTTCTGGCTCAGGTCTTGTTTTGGTAGCCTAAAGGCAAATATTGCTCTTGGAACTGTAAAGGTTGCAGACTCTTGGTCTATCACATAAAGTCTAATAAAATGCCCTTAAGGTTGTGGATGCAACATCAGAAAATAACTATTTTGCAAGGTACTGTGTGTCCTCAGAAGCAAAGTCTGCTGTTTCTGTTATATGTGACGTGGTTTTCAGGGCGAGTGCTGCAGGACGGATATTTAAACCCCCCAGTCTGTCAGTCAGATCTGCAGTGTGGTCGTCACTGAAAATGCTAATTATCTGCAGTGAAGGCCTAAGTAATTCGAAAAGCTACTCACCATGGGTGGCTGCTGGGAGCTGAGTCACACGTACACACAAAGCAGCAAGCCAACAACAGTCAGCTCCAGCAGATCCATTTCCTACTGCAGTGTGATTATTCTTGCTTTCTTTCTTTTCTCTCTCTCTCTCTCTCTCTCCTTTCTGAGGAGGCTGATCCAAGTCCTGACCTACAGCCTATAGATCCAGGTGCGAGTGGAGGAAACGCAGGAACACACATGCAGCCGAACACAGAACCATTACATAAGCTCCTCAGAGGAGTTGGATAGCTCTGATATTTACAGCATTTTCTTATCTTCAACGCACTCCTTTGCCAATCTCCTCTGAAATCCACTTTACATCACACTTTCTCAGGCTTTCCAGTTTTTGATGTCCAAAAAAAGAGCTTGCAAGCTTTCGTAACTCATGTCATGTGAAGCCAGCCCTCGTCATTCCCACCACAGGCCTTGATGTTTCTCGGTGGGGGTGTGATCTCCTTGAGTGATATGGACAGAGAGAGAGGTTGATGGCAGCAGGTGAGGAGGGATGAGTCAGTTTGGGTGATGCATGGCAGCACATAGGCCCTGTGCTCTCTCTTTGTCCCTGACACATGTGATAAACACACACAAACACATTTCAAAGAGAGGCCAGGGATTTGTGGTCACACCAGGCTATTTGTTTCTGTCATGGATCAGAACTGCTTACTTCATCCATATAGTTTGCGTGTGTCCTGCTTGTGTATGTGTCCATGTACTGAAACTACGATTACCTTGAGTAGCTTCTCTTAAATCCCATAAATGTTATCAAATGTACATGTAAAGAGAAGTACACAAAATTAAAACAATGAAGTCACATTAACCTTGTTACTTAGGGGAGAAAGAAAAAACCTCCTGCCCTAAGTGGGACTTGTTTGATTTGGAAACATCAGGAGCCTTTAGAAAAACTCAGTTAAATGATCTAGTTTCTCCAGAAAATACTTGCTCTTTCAGTAATGCAAGCTGTGCTAGATGCTCAAAATGTTAACTCTTTAATTTCTTCCTTTGGATTAAAATGATAAACCAACTACAAGGTTTCCCCCAGAAAACTTGCTAAGTCCAGTGGTTGGACTGAGATTGAATTGTTTATTTAACAAATAAACAATGCTTAGCCTGGTGGGGACTCATGGCCCGCCAGGCTTATGATACACTGGGGGAAACTATGAGCTAGCTAGAGTTCACTCATTTTCCCACTCACTAAAAATGGATTTTTCTTCAGCTTGGCTGTTGGGCAGAAGCAATGAAGAAGGTAAATTCCTGTGCCTAACTAGGATTTCAAAGTTGTTAGGAAATGTATGTACACATTGCTCAGCAAAGAAAACAGAAACAAACTCAACTGTCTCGTGAAAATGTAGACACAAAGGGAAGCCACAAATCCCACCACCATCTCCTGCTGCAGCAGCGCAGAAAGTTTTCCACATCTCCTCTGTGAATGTTTCCCAAGGTACAAAAATGTGCTCCATGTAGGGCTCTCAAATACATACTTTAACTAGTATGAGTCATTTCTATCTCCCAGGAGTTGAGACAGCAATGATAGATCTTATCTTTGTCTCATTCTTTCGAACTTAAAATTAATTCAAATTAAAATTTTAATTGCCATCTGGAAAGTACTGCCTACTGATTTATTGGTCTTATTAACATTTCATAATTTTTTTTTAAATTTTTTTTTTTACTTTTTCGGGAACAAGTTTTATTGTTCACTTTTATGGACCTATAAAGTGAGCCATTTTAAATAGAAGTCATTATATCAAATTCTACATTTTTGCTTTCCCTGTGAAATAAGGTTCTCCGGTTTCTGATATTGGACTCAATAGATATTCAAATGTGTGTTTGGGAGTGTTTGTGTATATTTTCATCAGACACACAATGGATTTAATCATCAGTGTGTGAGAGACTGCAGTCCTGCATCTATGTACACATTTGTGTCTGTTTTCTGTGCAAATGGGGTCAGAGTGCCTTAAAGTCCACAATGTTGCAGGGCCCAACAGGTTTATGGGGACGATAATGTTAGATCTCAAAGGTTTATCAGATGTTCCTTAATCCTTTTAATTACCTTTATGATAAAACTGAACCAACTGCTAAGGAGCAAACTGCACTGATATTCAGCAAACTGAGTACAGCTAAAGGATTCTTTCATAATAATGTTGACTGAATCCATACTAGTAAAATAGATAATGCCTATAATAGCCCCATTGTTGACCATTCCATTTAATGCAATTTTTTAAAATTATGTTTGCTATGTCTAACCATGTCTTCCGGCTCCTACTCAGTCATTTATTTATCTTGAATGCATAACCACTTGAGCTGTAGACAGAAATACAGAATTTTGAGACCAAAACGTGATATACTTATTTTAGCCAATAATAATTTCTCTTTTCAAATATCTACAATATAATTAGATACATGGACAACATTTAAAATGTTTTTTAGATGTCTGTCTGTGAATGGTCATTGATTATTTATGTTAGGAAAAGAAGCAGTTTCAATCCACTTTGTTCAGTATCATGTTTGCATGGTAATGCTAACAAGGTTAATTGAAACAACAGTTTCTGTTGCAATTCTCTAAAGAATCTCGGCTCTAAAGGTAACTGTGAAATCACAAAAAGTCTAAAAATATTTTAAGGTCCAGCATATTCAGTTATTTATAGAAGCTGAATGCCCAAAAGGAAATTCAGAGGAACTCCAGTGTAATCTGTTCAGCCTTACATAGTTGACATAGTGTAGAAAATATGCTTGCGTTGATATATCTCTGTTCTCACTCTGATTTAGTCACTGAATTCATCACTGATGCTAATGAAATCTTATTTTGAGTCTCCAGCCTCTCTGTTGATGTATAATGTGAAAAATAATAATCTTTAGGAAAGAAACTGAAACTGTTTGGGAGTACATGCGATTTATCTTTTGGACTCTTTAGCCTTTCAAAGATTGAGGCTTAGTTTTTATTGAAATAAATAACTGAAATGTGCAAAACTACCAATCTCATAATATCATCCATTATGAAACTACCAGTCTCATAATGCACCAAATCTTACGAACAAGCCAGAATACAGAATTAAAAGGAGGCTGACTATTGACAAGGGCCAAAAAATTAATCATGTTTTTTCCAAACTCTGGTTGTAATAAATATTTACTTGTGACTTTAAAACCATCTGAATTGTTTACTCCCATAAGGCTCAACATTCAATGTTCTGGAAACAGAAACAAAATACATCATGTACCTTTCAGCTGATCACAAATCCTCCCTGCCTCCCTCCTCCTCCTCTGTTTTCTGAGCTCCACACTGACACTCTGTGCCACCAGGTTTAAGGCTGTGTGAAAACAGTGCAGCAACTACAGCCCGCAGCTGACTAAATCCCAGACTGCTTATGCAACCAGCAGGCATCGCTGACTGGCCAAGCATATTCTGCTGGCCAAGGTGATGATTGCCGCCACGTCCGCCTCCGCTCATGCAGCCACACTGTCCTCCAACAATTACAGCAATGCTGTCTTCATCTTCTTTTATGCATGTGGAGCATAAGTCCACATCGTTTCCTTATACAGTGACAGAGGTTTAGTCATTTGTCTTTCCAATGAAAATGCTGGCATGGTCAGAAGACGTTGACCACTCATACGCACAGAATCAAACTCATTTTTGGTGCAAGACGAAGAAATTCGGCACTGACAGGCACCAGGCAGTATGAGGGGAAAATAATGAGAAAGGAGAGGCAGGGACAGCGGGACGTTATGACAGGGACCACTGAGCAGCAAAGAAAAGATAACGAGAACACCTTCAGCCAACTATACCCACATATACAGCAGCAGATGTAGGGGATTTATAGCAACATTCAAAGCTAAGAGTATTAAGTTTCAGTTTGGTTCTTGTGAACCGACAAATAAAAGTCTGATTAAGTGTGGTGTGCGATTTGTATTCGGCACATTCAAATTTCTTAGGAAGGGTTATGTGAACAAACAGTACCAATAAAGCTCAAGGGACACAACAAATGGCTCAGGGATGAAGTTGTGGAGAGGGTATATTCAGGGTCAGCTTATAAAGTGATATCTCAAGCTTTTAACATTTCAGCGCTCCATTCAGTACATCAAAACAAGCAAAAATAAACCATCCATCATAAACAGAAAACAATTCTCTGGTCAGATAAGCCCAAAACATTTTCTCTACACAGAAAATTCTAAGCATGGCAGACATGTTAATATGACAATTAATTTGTTTACTCAGTGCAAACAACTAATGAGTGGTGCAACTAGACCAACTACCTCCTCAGTTTTGAAGGTAGAGCCATTTAGATTTTGCTCTGAAAGAACTTTATCAAGTCCATTTTATTAATATTGTTGTATATTTTACCTGCTTTATGCTTCAGTTGATTTTTGCATTAAAAAAAGCTGCAATAACATCTTCTGCAAAGAACACCCAAATCTACCAGAGCTCACAAATCAAGTTAAATGACCCAGTTTGCCTGCTCACAGTGGTCATATTAAAAATGCAGTTGCAGGTGGTGCTCCGGTCTGTCACAATGAAGAAAGAGCTGAGGCAGAAAACAAAGCACTCGATTTACCGGTTCATTGATGCTCCCATCCTCACCTATGGTCATGACATATGGATTACGACCAAAAAACGAGATCCTGGGTGCAGGTGGCTTCGTTGGTGCTTTATTTTGGAGGTTTTCTGGGCCACATTCCACTGAGAGGAGACTATTTATCTCTTCTTGCCTGGGTATGCATTGAGATCCATCAGAATGAGCTGGAAAGTCCCACTGGAGAGAGAGGAGTCTGGATTCCTCCCTGGACTTGATCACAAGATAGATAGATGATCATGTCTCCTGAAGTCGTCCCATTCCTCTGTAAATTTTTAAAAATATTTTATTTAAGTGCCAGGATATATGACCACTGGAGGAATGGAAGTTCTTGTTGGTATAGATAACCCTAAGGATTCATTTCACAGCTTATAAATTCGTCCACCAGATGCTAGTTCAAAATCAAATCTACATGTCGACTGATGATACCTGAAAACAATTGTTCTACACTGAACGGAGTTTGAGTTTCAGTGCATGTTTTCTTGACAAAAACCACCTTAAAGGTACAGAAGCAAAAAAGTGACATATGGAAAAGAAACCTGGGCTGGGGTATGTCTTCTTATTTGAAATTAAAGTGAACTGTGAAACCTTTATTAATTGAAATAGGGGTCATTTTGTGTGTGGATGGGTCTGTGTAACCAACACATATTATTGTATTCCAGCTGCTGGTCTCTTTCAATGAAAAATAAAGAATAAAAATAAATTCAACTGAATCTCATTTACCAAAATTTATCACCAAATCCATGTATGTAATTTAAATGCAGTGATCAGCGCAACGTGCCACAGTAGAGATGTGAAAACCCTTTCAGCAGAAAGAGACCGATGGCAGAAGCAGACTCAGCATGGGTGGCCATCTGCCTCAACTGGTCGGGGCTTGAGATGACGTTTAGGGATTCTGCAAGGCCTAAAGTCCCCTTCAAACATTGAGACACTTTCCACACAATTATATATTATAATACCAGAAATTCCAGTCATTAGTCATAGAAGACCACAGAATTCAAAAATGGTCAAAATAATAAAAAGTGCATTTCCATATAGCAGTAGGTTGTCCAGTGTTTACTACAAAGAGGAATAAGGAATGATGCTATATGGATTTTTAAAAAGCGTTTTTGAAAAGAAACAAAACTTTTGCACCTCAACTCAGCAACACAACGAAGTTGATTGTAAATTACTGTTTGTGCCACTGGTTGTCACTGCGTAGTAAATCTACATTCAAATTCAGCTTTATGTGTTTAAGCACACAAGCAAGAAATTTTACTTTGGTTTTACATCTTGTGAACATATTGACATTTTCATTTTTTCTAAGAGTGCTTATTTGTGAAGGTTTGTTTGTTTTTTATTTATTTAGAATATTCCAGACTTTATCATATTGTACAGTGTTGCAAAAATAAATATCAATAGTTGAATTTTTAATGTACTATATGTCAAAGTGTGAAACTTCACATTTGCATTTTAATAATATTTTTGGTTTGCTGGATAAAATTTTTACTTCACTCAGTGCAGACACTTGATATATATTTTTACCAGTTGTGCAATGGAACGTTGCGAAAAACAAAACAATTACGTAATGAGGTCTCACCACCTCAAGTTTGAACACTGGCTAATGTCTTCAATCATTTAAAAAATTTCTTGATCAGAACCACAATGTGATACTTGAAGACCCACTTTTCCCTCTTTTCAGGGAGCCCATTTATCGACCCATTGGACCCGAATTAAATTTGCATTTGAATTCCCCAGAGTTCTTGCACTAATGCATTTCTCTGACTATAAGCCTTAATCAATGGATGCCTAACCGTAAACCATGAAACAATGTAATTCTACCTCAATTCAAAAACAAAATATAATTTTTTAAATTTAGGCAGTCCTCAAAAGTTGGTGCTTCATTAAGGTTTTGGACCCCACGGTTACCTAAAGGCAAACACACATACACACACGTTTTTCAAATAAATACCTGAGTCATTGTGTTGAGTAAATAGTACTCAACACAATGTGTTAGGTTAAATAGTATCCCTACTAAATCCTGGACTGTGATATGTTCTGATTCTTCAGCTGGTTGTGAAGACATTCACCACGTTATCAGTCCGATGAGAACAAATGACAGGCAAAGCTGCCGCCACAACTGGACTCTCACTGGCAACGTTGATGTTTCGCCCCAGACTGTTCATGTAACCCACATTGGAAGCTGTGACTCATCATGCTGGAGTGTTTGTAGTTGTGCAGTGAGTCGACTTCAGTGTGAAATAAAGGACAAGATCTTCTCTGATCAGCAGACACAAGCAAACAACCAGGCTCCTCCTCCAATTGATTTGTCCAGGGTATTTACCTGGATTTTTATTTATAAAAAAAAATTATTTTGGCAGATTTAACAAAGATCCATAATAGCCAAACTTCTGGCCAAAATTAACTGAATTTTTCATACTTGAACTACCAAACAGTAAGTTAACCATGAAGTGCTTCATATAGGGGCTATATTCGTTTTTGTTTTTTAGACTGGATATTTTCACTGTTCACTTTAATTCTAAACTCCAATGACTAAACTCAGTAACTCTAGAATGAAGAGATTTATAGATAGTTAAAAATTAATATTCATTGTAATGATAAAAACACAGCTGTTAGGAATTACTGTCAACGAGTCACTTTGTCTGGAGAAATAAGAGGTGAGTGTTTTCATCCTGAAACTGCATTTGAGGCTCTTGTTTTGAAGTAGTTCCTCGGTTGCTTTGGTGTCTCAACACAGTCGGGTAATAAGGACATCTTCAGGCACACCGGGTTACAAAAGCACACAAAATGCCACATCACTTGTTAAATCGTTTGTGGCTTCAGTATTTTGGCTACAAAAGAGAAAATATTGGAATGTTTAGGTCGACTCATTTGGTTCAAAATCTAAAACACTGTCAGACCTGAACTATTCTACACTGACAAGAGATTTTTAGATTGATAAACCTTCATTTCTCCATTAAAACACAAGTAGCATTTCAGTTTGTTTGTTTTTTATTAACTTGAAAGCATAAAACCCACAATAGAGCGAACGAGTCAAAACTAAAGGGTTTTATTTTACCCTTGACCACAGATTCTTAAATCTTAGTTTTCCCAAAAATTCTGCTAACATCTCCACTGTTGTTCTCTTGTACCTGATATCAGATTTAGGTTTATCACTAAGCTCCTCGCCCTTTAGAGAAATAAATTAAAATCTGCCAAGAAGCTCAGTCCTCAAAGACAAACTAAAATTGATGCATGTATAAAACAAAGACGTATATTTAATATTATCATTTTTTTTTCTCTCTTACAAAATCCACCAAAATCTGCATCACCGTCTCTTAGTAGCAGAGTGCTGTGCTGCAGCCACTCAAGATGTAAACACTGTGTTCAGGTAGCCTTTCACAGCCATCATCAGCATTCTGGGAGTCAGTGTTGTGTTGAATCTTAGTCTGCTCAGAGTTAGAGGAAAATCACAAGCACTTCACAGCGCTTGGAAGAACAAGAAACAAACGCACATGCAGAAGACGCTGCAGGCACACAATGACCCCCAACCCCCTCTACGCGTTACGCAAAATGACACAGAACACATCACAAGAATGGAAAGCAGCGCTGTGATCGATAAAACCATTCAAAAATATTGAAGACTCGAATTCATCAGCATTCAAGAGCGCATTGTTTATGATCAGTGCTGGTGTGCACTGACCCATCAGCCATCAGAGGTGATGGGTGAGTTAAAGCACAGGAGGACATGATGCTGCTGTCTGCACTGAGGAGGTTGGGGTGCAGGTGAGGAGACACTGGAGATTTCTCCCAATACTCACCCTTCAGTGGGTTCCCATTTGGAGGCTGTAGTGTCCACCCTGTCCACGCAGACTCATAATAATAATAATAATAAATAGGCAGGTCGACGAGAGCGCATACTACAGTGAGGTGAGTCTGACCGACGCGTCCAGCCAGAAGCCTCCGCAGAGCCGTGTGTCGCTGCTGGATGTGGATCCGGGCATCCTGCTCCCCTCCCTGCGGCTCTGCGTCCTATTGTCTCCGCATCGCTCTGGTCTCCAGGTTGGGAGGAGAGGAGGCGAGATGAAGACGGCGCGAGGAAGGAACGGGGAGAGGGAAAGACCCTCCCCCTCCTCGAGGCTTAGGCCAATCACAGCGCCGCTCCGCCGGGAGCCGCCGCTGCTCGCTGTCTCCGTACAGACTATGCTGCCTTCGTGGGTCATCGGAAATATTAACGGTGCACGCAAACGCGCTAAATACAGCCAAACAAAAATCTAATTAAATAGAAATAAATGAATAGTTGAAGTATATCTACAGGTGCGTCCTTGTAAATTGAAATATTGATTAAAAAAAAGTCAATTTACGTACAATAGTATTGTTTTGATAGATTCGTTTCACACCACCTGAGTTTGAATATAATAGATAAATAAAATAAAATAAAAATAAATCACTTTCTGCAAAAAACAAAAAGTGTCAAAAAACAACTAATTATTATTAATTATTAATAATATAAGCCAATGCGAGAGTTTCACTATTGTTTTGAATAATTATGACCAGAAGCTAATCAAAATTTTAAATACAGTAAACAAGAGTACTAACAACTGTATTTTAAATGTTATGTCATGGCCATGAGAACAGCTGCCAAGCTGTCAGAAACATCCTCTTCAACCAAGATAAACTAAATGAGAAACTTCTAAAGAAGCTGCATCCGAAAATAATCATAAATTTAGTGGAAGAAAAAACTGTACGAGCAATGGGAATAGCTGTTAAGTATATGTGTGAAGGACACACAGAAGATGGCGACACACCGCCAAGTCGGAAGGGACAAAATGACAATGTGTGGCAGTAGAGACAGAAAGGGGGGAAATGACTATTAAACATGTTCACATCATAAAAATACATAAATAATTATTCATAATGATTCATACAAATTTTCTGATGACCATGCAAAACCTGCTGAATATTTTGAGGTCCTCAGAAGTCAAAAGATGAAGATTCACACTGAAAGTGAATGAAAACTAACACGAAACATCAAAAATGACCAAAACCTTGATGTTAGGAAGCTACTTATACCAGAAAGCCAAATGTACAAGCCCCACTTGAACGCAGCACCGGTCCAGAACAAAAGGACAGCTGTGCAGTGCAATAAATGCACTTCTAATCTAAATGTGGCCTTAATGAAAACAATGCAGTAGTCGTTTTTTAGTGATCCAGTGGCGCTGGGTGAATGTTATTAGGATCTGCTCCTGGACTGATGTAAAGCGTCCTGCCATCGATTCAATTAGTAGAGGCTTCAGCGGCCCATCCATCGGAGGAAACGGCTCCATAAAACATGGCCAGGTGATTATTAGTGGAATCCGTCTCTCCCCCAGAGGATGTTTTCTAAGATCTCCCCTGCATTACAGAAGTAGCTGCTCCAAAAAATAAAAATTAAAAAAATCACCTACAACAGTTAGACAGGTGGGATTCACAAATCTCTACGTGTTATATGAAAACGTGATTTTCAATATTTTACACAAACATCTCCACATCGCAGCGCTACTACCGCGATGTTTCACCACAGGAGATGTCATCTTGTTCAGGATGTTGTGGTTGCTAGTCAGATGGAGGGCAATGTCTTGCTAGGTTAGCGGTTGTGCCACACTCTTTCCCCTTTAAGATCGTGTAATATGTTTAAAGCCTTCACAAGTTTCACCGAGTCAAATTTCAAGTCTTTTAAGATCCTTATGAATGAGACTTAAGAACCGCTTCGCGGCATAAGTGTTCAAAATAAAACTGTGTATGTTGTGCAGTGGTGCTGCCCAGCTTCTTCAAGTAATTGGTTGGCAACAAAGATGGACGCCCGCACTTACCTATGACAGACGCAGAGCTAGCCAGTTAGCAAGCGTACATTAGCAGCTAGTTAGCGGTAGCCTCAACCGCTTCCGGTCACGAAATGAAGATGTCGGCAAAGGCGACCCAAACGTGTGCCTGACAGAAAAGTCAGATTAAATAGTCCTGTCACAAGAACATGGAAGACTTGTATATGCGCCAAGGAATGCTACATTTTTAGATATATTAATGTCAAGATTTTTAGCACAGAATAAATGAGCGAGTAGCAAAGTGATACGCTACAAAAAGCTAGCTAACACGGCCATATTAGCAGCCAGTTAGCGGTAGCTTCAACTACTTAAAAGTCACATAATGGAATGAATTGTCTGTCACAAAAGTCCAGCAGTAAAAACAAACTACATATAAGGTTAAACAGTACTGCCTCCACAACATTTAAGCCCTGAGATGAATGTATTTAAGTGTGTGTTCACACCTGAGAGAAGTCGCTTTCCCCATTTTTGTTTGTGCGTGAAAACTGGTTGTTTAAAATTATTAGTGATACGTCATCAAAAGTCAGCCTTCCGTTAATTTTTTTTATTTGTAAAATAAGTAATCCTCTTTCCAATTTGCAACCAAGCAATTCTTTGTGTCCGTCTGCTTCAACTGATGAGCCAAGTTACTGAAATACATGAAACACAAATAGGTCATAATAAAGAACTCCTTCAGCTGAATGAAAAATTATTTATTTACAAGCAATTCTTGAATAAAAAAAAGGGAACTTGAGTTAAGAGTGTGGCGACACACATGGAAATTAAAACACCTGATACATAATAGACAAAGGTTCAAATGTGAATTATATAAAACACTTAACATTATGATAGATAGAGTGCAAATACTTGTACAGATCTAAAAATAAACTACACAAAGAGAAACAGAGCCAGGTCCTTGGTGTGGAGATGCTGCGCCAGGTTCTGAATGCGACACAGACGGACGTTCTGAGCGTCCCCGGCGCTGTACACTCTGTAGATGTGGTAGCGCTCCTTCTCTTTCAGTGCGAAGTCCAGCTCGTTGGCCGACATGTGGATGAAGGATTTCTCTCTCTTCACCGTCGACTTGACCTCCACAAATATGGCCCCCGCCTCTCCGAAGGCCAGTTTGAAGTCGTAGGGCTGGCCGCTCTCACCGCTCTGATTGCACCAGAGGACATGGGTGGGCCGCGCGGGGTCGCTGCTGTCTCTCCAGTGGCACAGGAAGGAGTTGACCAGCTTCTCCCCCCAGTCGCCCACTGCCGCCAGGTCCATCTGCTCGTCTGAAAACACCACCTGGAAAAGGATGGAGTCATTATCAACAGGGATCCACTTTTTCCAATTCCGATATCTGAGGGTTAGTATCGGCCGATACCGATCCGATACAGAAAAACTGTTGAATTGACTATAAAAAGTAATATATATTTTTTAAAACAGACATAAATATACTGAATTACTCATGTATTTGATAACTCTGCACCACTACAGCACACTTAAATACACCAGTAGCTTCCGAAGCTTGGTGAAACGTGTAAAAACATAATCAGGAGTAGAACAGCCAATGTAAAATAAATAATAACGAAACTGAAACTGACAGAAACAATAAGTTGACTACCTTGGTCAAACATGTAAAAACAAAACTACAACAAACCTACAACAGATTAGGAATTCTAAGTAAAGTGTAAACTAAACAAAGACGTTGCATATAGCACAAAGCACAGAATAAGCCTGAATAGACCTGCAAGATTAATTTGTTTTCAGTATTAGGACCAATAGATATTGATATCAGATCGGTACATCTGATATCAATATCAGATGTACCGATCTGACCGCAACCAGACCATCAAAGCCTTGCAGAGAAAGAGAGAGTGGTAGTACTGACGGTGTCGGGTCTCCGGCAGGGGAGCTCCATGTCCTCCAGTGTGGTCCGAAGAGAGTGGTCTTTGACCCACTGGGGGAAGTCCATGTTCAGGAGAGGAAGCTGCATGTTCCCAGCTGCTGACGTCCCCTGGAATGTACTGCTGGGAACCACTGCCTCAGGCCCCACTCTGATGGGGAACACAGGCAAAGAAAGGATGTGTGAGGGTAACAGTTTGGGCTCAAACGATTAATTAGATTTCAATCAATTCTTGAAATGATCGTCAACTAATTTAGTAATGGATTAAATGTTAACTGGGGTACACAAACTCAAAAAAGAGACAGTTTTGTGAAAAAACCCAACATATTCAGAGCAGTAATTAAGCCAAAACTGCTAAATATACATACTTATACTTAAGGTGAAAACACATTTGTTTATAAAGACTTTTTAGTCAAAACTCCACAAGTGGAATAGTTTTATCATTTTACTAAAGGAATGCTATGGTAATGCATTTTAGGCAATATACTATTTACGTTATTTAAAATATTAATTTAAGTATTTATTAATGTATTTCTAATCTTGAAAAGTAAAGGCTTAAGTGGTGAAATGAAATATCTGTACAATGTGGATATTCCTGTCCCGATTAATCGTCACAATAACGGATAGATTACTAAATTAATTGTTAGCAGGAGTACTGGTCCCGGTGAATTCCAACGTTAGTTTTCTACATGCATAATTCAGACGTCGTTAGACAAACAGGAGACGACCTACAGGCTGTTTGGAGGAGGCTGGTTACTGGAAGGTTCTGCAGGCTGCTCAGATGGAGGACTTGGCGTCGCCGCAGGAGCCAGCCTCTCCTCTCCGCCCTCGGCTTTGTGGGACTCGGCGGTCGCAGACTGCTGGCTGCGCTCTGGCGGGTGACAGACGACACCAAATGGAACAGGAAGCTTTGACACAATGTGCTGAACACACACAATCTGTGAATGTTGCAGAGACGTTTTTTTCTTTTGTCTTTTTTAAGACTCTCACGGCTTTAGAGTTCTTCCAAACTAGTAATCACTGTCACTTTACGACTCAAGAACGAGAAAACTCTTTCCAAGCATTTTCATCTGTTGAGATAACTTTCTGGCTGTGTGGTGAAAAGCTAAGCTGCATCTTCATTATTAAACACAACAGTGGCAACATTATGAGGTGGGAGATGCTTTTCTTCAATGAATTAGTGAAATTGACTGTGAAATGCTTCGAGTATGTGTACATGCATCAACTAGCACAGGTGACATGAATTCACCACTTTGGCTGAATTAAGTGAAATTTGTGATGGTAGTTGTCATACTAAAATGGCCTAGTCAAAGTCCAGATCTATTCCCATTAGAGTAATGGGAATAGACTTGAAAATTCCAGTTCACAGACATTGTTTATTAAAT